TATATATGTTATCCTAATTGAATGTGACATAAGAGAATAAGATTTTTATAACCCAGAACCAGTTAGCAGCACACTTCTAAATCAAGTGTGCATTCTCCAGACTGAATTCTATCCATAATTCTGTTCTCTGCCTAATTGTGATGTAGAGGGCCCTTCTGTTTTTCTGTTGTGTTCTTCAGTTTACATATCCTCCTGGTAGAGGAATTTACTAGATTTTTTTTGAGATTCCATTAATGTAAGAAAACTTGGTGAAGTGATGAAATGCTTAGTAGCATGATCATTAGCTGGGATGCTAGACTTAGCTGTTTTTAAATTCTTTGAAAATTACAAGGTGCTCTTTCATTTTAAGGTAATACTGACATATTCTTTCCCCTAACAACTCCACAGTACTTTCATCACCATGTCTTCTTCTCATACCTGTTTTTTTGTTTCATTATCTTAATTCAAGATCCAATTCTAGACCCTTCTTCTTCCCCTTTTTTGGAGAGCAATTTTTGCTATGGGGCACATGCACCCTAGAGAGACAGAGAGAAATCACCACCAGGGGGGATGGCCATGCTGCAATTCCTTTACCTCCATTCTCCACTTGGGGTTTTGGGCACGCATGTACATGTGCCCGGTGTGAGTTTTAAGCCATCAGGTCCAGGACTTGAATTGGAGTTGACTATGTAGGAATCCAGCAACATAACCATTATGGCATTGACTGGTTCCAAGACCTATCTTCTTTACAGTCCAGTATGCAGAGTCTTCATGAAATGCCATGGGAAAATACCTATTATGAAAAAACTGTACATGGATTTTAATTTTTTGGCACCAAAATAAACATTATTATTATTTTTTAATGTGCTAAAGGGTGCATGCATTTGTTGGAGAGAGAACAACAAGAAGTGAGAAAGAACCCCCATTTGGGATGGTCATGCTGTAATCCCTTTGCCATAATATCTCCTTTTGGAATTTTGGGTCTATACGCACACGTGCCTGGTGTGTTTTTCAAGCTGCATAGTCTGCCATGTGGAATCCGGCCACCATAACCACCATGCCCACTGAACTCGAACTTTGATTTAATTTTTTCGTAACTTTTTGAAGTCTCATTGTATTCTTTTGTAGTTTATCATCAAACTGTATATAAAATTACATATGGAAACTTTTTTATTTGTATTCCTGTCTTCCTCGATTGAGTTATAGATTGTTTTTAATTACCTGAGGATTCTGTGTCACCATGCATGAAATCAAGCGAGAAAGCAAGTGAATAAGCATGTGCACCCTCCCAAGAGGGTGTGGTTGTGCCACATATTTTTTTTCTTCATTTCTCTCTCCCATCAAGATTATGGGCACACATGTACATGTGCCTGGTGTGTTTTTTAATTTCTGGGACTGGGATTCAAACTGCAGTAGGCCACGTGGGATCCACCCCCAATGCACAGTGCTTAATCACTGCACTGTGGGACTAGACCTGTAGACTGCTTACAGAAGAAAGAGTAGTAATTGGCATGGGGCCGCACCAGATTTTTTATTAGTAAATGCTAATTATCACTATAGTAAGCCCTATTGAATTTGACCATTATATTCTATTTTTATAGTCTTCTAATAATATATAGTAATTTAGGTAACAGTAAACATTACATTTAAGTAATTTGTGTAAGAACAGTAGGTTTGGGGGCTGTCAGGTGTCACGGTGGCTAAGAGCGCTGGACTCGCACATGGCCAACCACCTGGTGGCTTGCTTTCTCACTTTTCCTCCCTCTCACTCTGTCCCTCTCTGCTCAAATTAAAGTAAATAAATAAAATAGTTCTTTAAAAAAAAATTTAAAAAAGTAGGTAGATATGACAGTAGTACACTTTAAGAAGTCAATTCTGAGCCAGCATGATTCAGCAGTAATGTACTAATGAAGAGAAACCAGATTCTACATCGTGTCCCTGGTTCAAATCCCCAGCCCTCTCAGCTTGAAACATGCTGGACACATGCCCAGGATTGAGGGACTGGAGGAAGGGGTTTGTAGGAGAACCAGATCCTGTGGAGGGCTCTCAGCTGTCTTGTCTTTCTGTGTCTCTTGCTGTCATGTGTGTGTACATGTACTCCATTATGAATACAGAAAACAAAACTGAATTCCCACAGATTATGTAAGGGTATTCAGTATTTTAGTGTGCTTACTAGTTAGATATAATTTTTTTAAATGAAGTAATTGATTACATGGATTCTTTATAGCCTAATGTCAATATTTAAATACTGTGTTTACAGAAACTCAAACAATTATTGTAAAGGAAGCTAATTTCCGGACCAGCAGTTAGCGTAATGGCTATGTCACTGGACTCCCACATAGTTGACCACAGTTCACATCCTGGACCCGGTGGCTTAAAACTCACGCTAGGCACGTGTGCGTGCGTGCCCAAGATCCAGAGAGGAGAATGGAGGAGAAGGGATTGCGGCGTGGCCACCACCACCACCTCCTGGGGTGGGGGTGATTTCTCGCTTTCTGTCTCTCTCTGTCTCTGGTGAGCGCATGTGCCCTATGGCAAAAACCTCTCCAAAAAAAAAAAAAAGAAACTAATTTCCTTTTATGTAATTATTCACTATGTACAATAATTGGACGTTTAAACTCTTTAAAGAGTATTAGCTTTTTTTTAAAAAAAAAAAAAAGTATTAGCTTTTTAAAGTAAATGAAATTTATTTAGTAAATATTTTCACTTAAAACTGATATTTATAGTTCTTTGTAAGGTAGATACTCCACTGAAGCTTCATCAGATATAGAGTCAAATGTACAAGATTGTTATAGGAGTAACTATAGGAGTTGAAATTGTATTATCATAACTGTAATGTAACTTCTGGCTATTGCACGGATACTGAGTTTTCCTAGTAGAAGTTAAATTCAGTGTACAGATTGATACCCTGCAGAAATAATTGTTATATTTAGCATATTCAGTAAAACTTATGTGTGGTACCAGCGGATGGCGTAATGGTTATATCACTGGACTCCCATGTAGTCTACTATGGTGTGAGTCCCAGACCCAGTGGCTTAAAACTCACGCCTGGCGGGCGTGTATGTGTGCCTAAGATCCTGAGAGGAGAATGGAGGGGAAGGGATTGCTATATGGCCATCCCTCCTGGAAGGTAATTTCTTGCTTTCTGTCTTTCTGTCTCTCTGGCAAGTATACACACCCTATAGCAAAAATCTCTCTCTCACAATAAATAAAAACAAAAGCAAACTTATCATGTGGTTGGGAGTTTGATGTCACATAAATTTATGTTTTTTTTTTTAGTTTTAATTTATTTTTAATAATTATTTAACTTTATTTTACATTATTTCAGTTTGACTAGAGAGGGACAGAGTGAGAGGGAGAGCCAGAGAGAGAGAGTGAGAGGGAAAGTGAGAAAGCTAGCCTGCCAGATCTGGGACTTGAACTGTAGTTGACCATGTGGGAATCCAGCGTCCTTAACCACCACACCACCTGCTGCCTTCCCTATTTATTTATTTATTTATTTGAGAGATTTTTACTATAGGCTGTGTGCACTCTCCAGAGAGACAGAGACAGACTGAAAGTAAGAAATCACCCCCATGGGGGGTGGCCATGCTGTAATCCCTTCTCTATTCTCCTCTTGGGATTTTGGACACGCACAACACACACACTTGCGTCCGATCTGAGTTTTAAGCTACCAGGTCTGGGACTTGAACTGTGGTCGACTACGTGAGAGTCCAGCAACGTAACCATTACTCTATCTGCCTGTCCCTTTTCTTTTCTTTTCTTTTCTTTTTTTTTTAAGGTTTTTTTAAGGGTGCATGTGCTTACCAGACAGAGACTGAAGGAACGTTAGAAATCACATTCCAGTGGGGTTGGCCACTCCACAGTCCCTTCTCCATTCTTCTTTTAGGATTTTGGGCACACAAACACGCACCTGGCATGATTTTCAAGCCAACGGGTCTGAGACTTGAACTGCATTGGACCATGTGGGAGTCTAGCGTCTTTTTTTTTTTTTAATATTTATTAAATTTTATTTATTCATTTATTTATTTTAATTTGACCAGGGAGAGACACAGAGAATGAGAGAAAGGGAAAGTCAGAAAGCAAGCCACCAGGTCCCAGACTTGAACTTTGGTTGGCCATGTGGGAGTGTCCAGCACCTTAACCACCATGCCACCTGTTGTTCCCCAGGAGTCTAATGTCTTAACCACACCACCTCCTGACCTCAAATTTATGTCTTTTCAATTGCCAGATGGTAGACACTCATTGGAGGTAGAGGTGTGGGGCTGAAGAGGTCGGGGGCGTGAGAGAGAAAGCAGTTATACCACAATTCTCTTTGCTCTGTTTCTCTCTCAGGATATTAGATATGCATGCACATAAATCCAGCACATTTTTTCAAGTCACTGGAGTCAGGATTCAAACTGCTGTCAGCCATCCGGGGTCTGGCATCCCATGCATATAGCTTAACCACACTTCTCTATGGGAGAAGGCCAGTGTTTTGTGTTTTTTTCTTTCTTTTTTTTTTTTTTTAATAATTTACTGTTGTAAAATATACATTATCAATTTTACTATTTTAACCATCTTATAGGAGTAATTTGGTAGCATTAAGTGCATTCTTATTGTTTGCAATCATTACTCAGCATCAATCTCCAGAACTTTTCACGTTTTCTTAAACTGAAGCTATAGAATTAAACACTAACTCCCCATCTGACAAATTTAGCTGAAGGCTTTTTTTCCTTCCTTCTCAGGATTTTAGCTCTCTGATGTATTTGTTCATATGTAGCTCTTTTACAATTGAATGTAATTGGTTTCTTGTCTCTTAATGATGTATATTCTAGACAGTGCTATTTTGAACTATGTGATTTTATTTCTATGTTTTGCTTTGTTCTAGCTTCTTTATTTCCAATTGCTAGGTTTTATAAAAGTTACATAATTTTATTTTTGTTGCTACTTTTTTTTTAGTTTTTGTGAATTATAGATTAATTAAAATATTTAGAGATAATTGTCAGTAACATTCTGTCATTTGTCTTCCAAACTGCCAGGCAGAAAATTGCAACTAGATCAGAAGTGACCTAGAAATATGGTCTTATTTCTGCCGTCTACTAGTGAGGCACTTCGCAAAATCTCTGTGACCAATTAGGTGAGCTTGATCTTTGTAATATGTAGAGCTACTCTTTTGTCCTTTAAATTTTGTGTAAAGAGGTAGAGCTGTAGGCTTGATTAAGTTTAAGTTTTATCTTTCAAGGGAAGAGTTTCATAGATCTGTAATTTTTATCATGCATTCCACATTTCCTGTTTTTTGTTTTGTTTCTTCATTTTACTGAATTTTGCTCAGTTACACTTCATACATTTTACTGAACTTTGCTCAGTTACACATGTGTGTGTATTTTTTTAAAGAGGTTTTTGCCTTAGAGTGTTTGTACTCCCCAGAAAGAGAGGGAAATTGAGAAATCAACCCCTAGAGGGATGGCCACACTGCACACCCTTATCTCTTCTCCTGGGATCTTGGGCACATGCACACACATGTGCCTGGCATGATTTTCAAGCCACCAGGTCTGGGACTCAAACCGTGGTCAGCCATGTTGGAGTCTAGCAATGTAACTGCTACACCATCTGCTTGTTCCCTATTCATATAGTTTTGGTTGAGGTTTATTGTCTTAGGGCGTGTGCGCTTTTGTGGGTGGTTGGGTATGGGAGAAAGTGAAAGGGAAAGTGAGAACCCTCCCTCCCAGGGTGCTGACCTCACACAATCCCTTCTTCTATTCCCTTCCTGGGATTTTGCGCATGCACACACATGTGTGAGTTTCAAACCACTGGTTCTGGGACTCTCACCGTGTTAGACCATGTGGGAGTCCAGTGATGTAATCACTACACTACCTGCTCCCTGGGGGAAGTTATTAAAAGGTTTTTTAAATTCAAACTTTTATCTAATCAGCTTAACATCCTTCGATGATTTAAAATGATTATTGACTTAATTTTTGGATCATTTTTGAACATTAGATTTTTTTTTTTTACCAAATACATATTAGGCATTTTGAAATAAAGGATGTCAGATTTATTTCATTTAAATTATGAGATTTCTTAAAGCTAGTGTCCTTAATATTGTAGCTAAAAGTGACTTCTCACATCTTGCATTCTTCAGAGAGAAAAATAAGACATTCCCTCCCCAGCTCTCAATTTGGCAAAATTAGGAGTATAGTTCTCTTACTGTGATTTTGTTATTATGAAATGTGGGTGGCCTATGGTGGTCAAAATAATATCTTCTATTTTCAGAGTTGTTTTAAGCGAGTTTGGCTTATTGCCTATATTTTTATTTTGAGAGTTTTATTTATACAAAAAAATGAAGATTTAGTTATTCTCTGTTTATTGGTTTATACAGACACAAATTCTTATGTCTGTACTTTTTCCCCCATCCTACAGGAGATTGTTGAAAACTTTAAATTTCATTCCTGAAAGGACTCAAGTAAGTATAGTATGGTAGTATTTAGTATAATAGTTATTCTTACTTTTTTTTTTTTTGTCGGAAACCAATGAAGTCCAACAGTATTATAAGTAGTTAAACTATTTAGTATTCCTTTATAACAATAGAGTTAATTTTTTCTCACTAATTATAAAACTCTTATTTTTACTTATGTTCTCCTTTAATTAATTTAATGATTTTTACCATCATTTGACATATTATGCTGATTGAATGATTTTGAAGAACTTTAAAAACAGTTACATATATTTGCACCCTGCCTTTTTATTTTCCATGCATGGTAATGTAGTCTACATATTAATTTGCCATGGCTTTTCTTTGTTTAGCAGTATTTTTGGACAGTGTTTTCATATTCTTACCTATAGGGTTATTTTTCTTTGAAATGGTTTATGTAATATTCCTGCATATGAATGTAGAAGAATTTATTTAATCTGTACTCTCTTATGGATATTTTAGATTGTTTTCAGTCTTCACTATGCTAGTATGCAAGCATACTTAGAAGTAGAATTTCCAAGTTAAAGCATATGTGCATTTTCAAGAAGAAAAACAAAAGGTGCAACTTTAATCAATCATTTCCTGAGCAGGTGCGAGAGACAGAAAGAGATACACATGCACACACAGCACCTCCAACGAGGTCCTGGCACTGTCATCCATCCTCAGCCTTAACTGGCCCTCAATCATGAGCAAGTGTGTGCCCAGCATATTCAGGGAGGTCTCTGTGCTTGTGTTGAGAACCTACCCATGTGAGATTACCTCACAGTATATAACGTTTTACCCCCACGCCACCATCTGTCCCCTAGGTTGAAAATGTTGATAGCACTGAATTGTTCTCAGTCTGTGCTGCATTATACTTCAGTAACGTGCAATCCTTGCTTTCCTTATTCTCATCAAAACAATCTGATTTTTGCAGAGCTTTTGGGTGAAAACTAGTACTGTATTATATGACTTCAATTTTTATCTTTATTTTGGAGGAAGTTGAACATAATTTTTAAACTTTTAGTTTTTGCTATAGGGTATGTGTATTCATTGGAGAGAGACAGAAATCACTTCCTAGTAAAGATGGCTACCCTACAATCCTTTCTCCCAGGATTTTGGATATGTCACATACACAAGTGGTATGTTTTTTCTTTTTTAAGCTGCCAGGTCTAGAATTTCTACCATGACGTCCATCATGTGGGATCCAGCTGCCTTAACCACCATGCCATTGGCTAGCCTCTCCTTTCAAAAGATTTTAAGCACTGTTTGTATTTGTTTTTTTGTGTGTGAACCCATGCCGTGTTTTTCTGGGTTGTTGACTATCATCAATTTGATTTTAATTAATTGTGGTTGCTATTCATCTGTATTGTATCTTAAATAGGGTAAAATCTAACTCCTTAGCCTTTGATGGTTTCAGTAACGGTAGAAGAATAGTAATATTGACAATTTTTTTCCTTTCAAACTTCCATCAATTCTTATACCTACAAGACTGGTTGCTTTGAATGATACATTATTAATGATGGTTGATTATAGACTGAGACTTTTCTGAAATGTACATATAACTTAAAAACTAAATTTTAGAGGGCCAGTGGGTGGTGTGGTGGTTGGAATACTGGACTCACATGACTGACTGTGGTTTGCGTCCTGGATCTGGCAGCTTGCTTTCTCACATTCCCTCCCTGTGCCTGTCTCTAGTGAGCACATGTACCCTGTAGCATAAATTTAAAAATGATAATAAATAAGATTAAATATTTTCCTTTTTGAGAGAGATTTTTGCTATAGGGCATGTGTGCTTGCTGGACTGAGAAATCACTCCCTAGCATGGAAGGCCACAATGCAGTCCCTTCTCTATTCTCTGAGGATTGGGGGCAGGCACAAGTATGCACCCAATGTGAGTTTGAAGCTGCCAAATCTGGGACTTGAACCGTAGGTGACCACATAGGAATATAGCACCTTAACCACTACACCAGCTGCTGGCCCATAATTCTTTTTTTTTTTTTTTAAAGCTAAATTTCAACTGAAAGAAATTAAAATTTCCCTAGGCACCTTTAGTTAGTTCTTTTCATTGGTCTGTTTGTAATTGAGCATATTATAAGGATGTTTTTACACAGGAAATTAAAATTCCTTTACTCTGATAGTGTAAAAAAAAAGTGTTCCCATTCCTAGCCTTTAATTTTCCCTCCTCCTAAACTAGCTGAGTTACCTATAGCTGTTTACAGCTAAAATGGATATCCTTCTCTGTCTTCCCTCTTAGTATTGCATTAGAAGGACCTGCCAGAAATCTGTTCACTTTTCTGAAGTATTTTCCTTCTTCACAGTCTGTGTTTCTCGACTCGGTGCCCTGGTTTCTATGTACTGCCAATAAAAAGCTTTAACTTAGTACATGATCCGTGTTCACATCTTGCTCATGATGGTTCTTTACACATCGGGATAGTTTATAGCTCTTGGCTCAGAACCTGCTCCATGATCACTCTCTCCAGGTTTTGCTCGTGTTAACCATTTGCCATCTACTCTAAGGATTGTTAAGCTACTGCTTGTGAGCAGCCTGCCTGTTTCTATAAATAAAAGCTATACAGCCTTGTGTTTGTGTATATAACCTGTGGCTGCCTTCACGTTATGTAATAACAGCAGTGATGAGTAGTTGTGGAGAACACTGATTACTGCAAGGGCAAAAATACTTGACTGGTCCTCTGCAGAAAAAATTTGCCAGCTCCTGATCTAAGGGATCACCATGTCATAAAAATGCTCTGTTTTTCTGTACCCTGTTTTCATCTCGCATTTGCCTTGTTCTGTCTGTTCAGTTTCTGTTTTCATCTGTTTCTGTAGCATGTACCCTTGGAATCTGTAATATACTTTTATTCACCCTCCACCCAGAATGTATCAGCTCCCAAAGTAGGAAGCAATTTTTACTTATAAGAAAAGAATACACCCTCCTGTCTGCATCCCAAACCTGTGAAATGTGGATAGAACTTTTCATTTTAATTCAAATTTAGGACAGTGACTTTACATTGAAATAAATTTACCTCTTGGGACTAGCAGATGGCATAATGGTTATGTCACTGGACTCCCATGTAGTCAGCCATGGCTCGAGTCCTGGACCCAGTGGCTTAAACTCACACCGGGCACCTGTGCATGCATGCCCAAGATCTCAAGAGAACAGAGGAGAAGGGGTTGCAGTGTGGCCACCCCCACCCAGGGAGTGATTCTCACTTTCTGTCTCTGTCCGTCGAACCCACATGTCCTGTAGCAAAACAAAAAAAGAAAGAAAGAAATTCTCTCTTTAAAAACCAGGTTGGGAGTATTTTGTTTCAGGGATTGCTGTGGCTCATTTCAAAGTTTGTTAAGTGTGTTTTTTTGGAGTATTTGCTGAATACTTTTTTTTTTCAGTTAAAATCATTTCATTGAATTGTATACATTGATAGACGCTTCAAGAATGTAGGAAAGCAAGCAAACAAGGTTATATAAACCATTAACCAGGAAGTAGACTTGCTGATAAGCTTCTTAAAGTATTCATTAAAAATGAGTCTTTTCTATTTTTCTTTTTTTCAAGTTTTTTCCTATAGGGCGTGTGTGCTCTCCAGAAAGACAGAGAGACAGAGAGACAGAAGGCGAGAAATCACCCCCCGGGGGGATGGCCACGCCACAATCCCTTTTCCTTCATTCTCCTCTCGGGATCTTGAGCACACACGCACACGTGCCCGGCGTGAGTTTAAGCCACCTGGTCCAGGACTCAAAACTGCATGGGAGTCCAGCAACATAGCCATTATGCTAACTGCTGGTCCCTCCATTTTGTTTTACTATGTAAGAATGAAGGGCTTTCTGTGATCTATTTTTTCCTTTCATAATTGATGGGAACAGTATCGCTGAAACTTTAAGTAGCCTTGAAACTAGGAAGAGGATGATCTGTGGGGCCAGCAGATGATGTAGTAGCTGCATCACTGGACTCCCATATGACCAACTGCAGTTCGAGTCCTGGACTGGTGACTTCAGAATCACACTGGACTTATGTGTGTGCACCCCCAAGATCCTGGGAGGAGATGGAGAAGAAGGGATCTTGTTGTGGCCACCCTCTTTGGGGATGATTTCTCACTTTACCTCTCACTGTCTCTGTCCCCCTCTCTGGAAAGCACATATCCTAAGGCATAAAACTCTTTAAAAAACAAAAAAGGTAGTCTATCTTTATTTTTCTTGTAAAGAAAAATCTCAGAATTGGGAATAATCATTGCCTTAATTACTCTTTTTTCCTTTTGTTCACTTTGGTTTTTATTTCCCCTGAAGATCTTTGGAAAGTATTTATGCTGGAAAGTAATAATTTATTTCTTTTTTATTACTTCCTGATAACTTTAAAACCATACTTCTTTCATTTTTATTTCTTAGTGGCTTACAAAAGAGATGAAATGTGGTCTGAGGGACGATATGAGTATGAAAGAGTTCCAAGAGAACGAGTGCCTCCTCGAAGTCACCCCAGTGTAAGTTACTCCCTCATGTAGAATAATTTAAAACCTAGTGTCTAAGTAAATTTGATATACCAAAGCTAGGCCTGTTAACAAAATCTTGAAGTGTCAGAAACTTAACAGGCTAGGTTGAAAAATAGATCAAACTTAGCTTTTAAAAATTTAGTATAAGTGGCAATATTTTAGTTAAATAGGGAACCCATGTTTTATATTTTTGTTTAAATTTCTAAAATGAAGGGCTTATGTTGAATTTAATTTATGAAGATAATTTTAACCTTTATAAAGGTCCAACCATCCATTAACAAAGAAGTATTTGAGTATCTGCTTCTTTTAGTGGCTGGGCTCTTATTTTTCTGCATGTCTAAAAATGTTTGTAAATTGACTATATGAAATTCTAAACATAGGCCCTCATTTTAGAATAGAATAAGTCTTTTCCTAGATGAGAAACATGTCGATATTCCTAATTAGGATTCCACAAGCACACTTCCTTGTGATTGATGAGGCAGCCTAGCTAGTGAGTAAGAGTGCCAGGGCTCTGGCAGGCAGGCAGCTAACTTCTGGCGTACTCCTCTCTTTGTTGCTTTAGGAATTGGGACTTTTTTTTTTGTTTTTTTAAGGCTTTTGCTATTGGACACGTGTGCTTGTCAGAGAGAGGGAAAGTGAGAAATCACCCCTGAGGGGGGATGGCCACTCTACAATCCCTTCTCCATTCTCCTCTCTGAATTTTGGAGATTTATGCACATGCACCTGGCATGATTTTTCAAGCCACCAAGTCCAAGACTTGATCTTTGGTTAGCCATGTAGTAATTCAGTGCCTTAACCACCATGCCACCTACTGGCCTCAGGATATATCCTATTAAGAATTTTAAAAACCATGTTTCAAAGATACTTAAAGTCTTTTTCTTTATGGTTATGCCATCATTGGGCTTTAGTCTGTAGGACTGTATGCTTTATCACCTAGGCAACCCAGTTTGGGAGTGGGGAAAGGAGATTGTATTTATTGACTTAAGATCACAAGGTGAGAGTGGTGGACCCAGGGAGATGAAGATGTCGAAGGTTCTGATGAGAATTATTGAGGTCATATACTGTGAAGTAGGCTGATTAGGGAAGGGAGTGAAGCCATGAGAGCAACAGTGGGGTAAAGGAAGCAAGGGGTTGAGGACAAGAAGATTCAGTGAGGTCGAAGGCCATTCTCTGGAGGAAGATTGGCAATTGATATTTTATTAGAGTGTAAGGTTTCCAAGATGGAGCAGTCCTGGTGAAGTTTAGTCACCTGGTGGTGGGAATAGAGGGTTGGTTTAAGTTATTGAAGTTGAAATCAAGAAAACTTGGAGCTAGATTTTGACTTGGTGATCTGGACCAGAATCTCCCAATCCAAGCTACACATTAAAACCACCTAGAGGGACCAGCAGTTGGCATAATGGCTGTGTTGCTGGACTCCCATGTAGTCGACCAGGGTTCGAGTTCTGGACCGGGTGGCTTAAACTCATGCTGGGTGTGTGTGCCCAAGATCCTGAGAAGAGAATGGAGGAGAAGGGATTGAGGCATTGCCATCCTCTCTGGCAGGTGATTTCTCACTTTCTGTCTCTCTGTCTCTCTCTGTCTTTCTGGCAAGGACATGCGTCCTATAGCAAAAATCTTTCCAAAAACAAACAAGCAAACAAAAAAACACTACCTAGAGAGTGCTTTAGTACTTTTGTATGGGCCCCACCCTTAATAATTAAATAATTTCTGTGGAGGGGTTCTGGGTAGTGAGTATTGTTTAAATGTTCTCCAGAAGATTCTTACATGCAGTTAAGAGATATAGGTATGTTGGGAGCAGCAGTTAGCGTAATGGCTATGTCACTGGACTCCCATGTAGTCGACTGAGGTTCAAGTCCCGGACCTGGTGGCTTAAACTCATGCCGGGTACATGTGCATGTGTGCCCAAGATCCCGAGAGGAAGTTGGAGGAGAAGGGATTGCAGAGTGGCCATCCCCTCGATGGGTGATTTCTCACTTTCTGTCTCTCTGTCTCTCTCTGTCTTTCTGGCAAGTGCACGTGCCCTATAGCAAAAAAATAAAAAAGAGAGAGAGAGATGACAGGTATGTTAATAGATGATTGAAGTCACTGATGATGACAAGAGTTGAGGTAAAGATGACCAGTAAGAGAAGTCTCCCTGGAATGAGCATATGGTCGTAAAATGTAAACAAAATCACACATTTTCATTTTGTGTCATTTGCGTATGCAAATATGAAACAGGCTTTTTTTTTTTTCCCTGTAAAATAATCTCATCAACAGTAAGCGAATAGTGTATTCTATTAAAGTACTCTTAGAATGACTAAATGCACGCAACCGTCTCTGAAGTGCCTTAAGGTACAGCTCACTTCCTTAAATTATCTGGCTGCTTTGTTCCTTTTGGAGGAGAAAGAGGATGAGTCTAAGATTCCTTTTCTCCTTTGAGAGCACAGAACCTGCTCTAACATTAAAGTGCATTTCTATCCCTTTTTGGGGGGGGAAGAGACAGAGAGACAGAAAGAGACAGAGACAGAAAGTGAGATACCCCCCCCCCCCCCCCCCACCACCCTTCCCCCCCCTTCCCCCCCGCAATCCCTTCTCCTCCATTCTGTTCTCAGGATCTTGGGCATGCACGCACATGGCACCCAGCATGATTTTGAGCCACCAGGTCCGAGACTCGAACTCAGACGACTACTTTGGAGTCCAGCAACATAGCCATTATGCCAACTCCTGGTCCCAACATTTCTGTCCTTTTTTTCTTTTAATTTCATCATCAGGTTGGTCTCTGTACCTATAATCAATATATTCTAGGTTTTTTTTTTTTTTTTTTTGAGAGGTTTTTGCTATAGGGCGCGTGTGCTCACCAGACAGACAGAGACAGAGAGACAGAAAGCAGTAAAGCACCCCCCAGGGGGGGTGGCCACACTGCAATCCCTTCTCCTCCATTCTCCTCACGGGATCTTGGGCACGCACGCACACGCGCCTGGCGTGAGTTTAAGCCACCAGGTCCGGGACTTGAACCGCGGTCGACTATGTGGGAGTCCAGTGACATAGCCATTACGCTAACTGCTGGTCCCAATATATTCTAGTTTTTGAATCCTGCTATATTTCTATATTCCGCCTCTCTGAAACGCAGATACGTTTTTTTCTGGTGAGCTTGGCCTCGTAATTAAATTCTTCTTTCCCCTCTGTGCATCCTGCCTCTTGTGTAGCTATTGGAAATTTGCCTTCTATATTACGCCTACATTTTAGTTAAATAAAGAATAAGTTCTTGACCTTTCTTGATTTCACAGATCCCTTTTGTAGTCTGCTAAAACCTATGGATCCCTTGTCAAAGAAATGTTTTAAAATCTGTGGAATAAAATGCACACTCATATTCCTTCTGAATAGATCACTTATATTTGAATATAATGATCAAACTATTAAACATCAAGTTTGTGATGCAGTAATATGTACTTCTTCAGTAGGCCTTTATATGTCAAGAGCTAGTACTGGGGAATTCATTGCTGTAATTTCAATGTAGTAATGAGTGTCAGTGATATTTTAAGAAATCTGCCTTAGCTAATACCTACCTAATATTAATTTGAAAATATCTGGGGGCCAGCAGATAGCATTATGGGTAAGGCACTGAACTCTCACAAGGCTGGCCAAGTTTCACTTTCTCTCTATCTCTCTCTGATGATCGCACTTGCCCTATAGCAAATTTAAAATAATATAAGTAAATTTTTAAAAATTCTTTATTAAAAAATCTGTCATTTCAGTTGGTGCCAAAGTCACAGATAGTGCTATTGCCTTTTTCTTTTCTTTTTGTTACAGGGTGTGTGTGCTCATCAGAGAGACAGAGATAGAAACATAAAGTAAGAAACTACGCCCCCCAGGGGGGATAGCCATACCACAGTCTTTTCTCCTCCATCTCTCCTCTTGAAATTTTTGGCATGCACACACATACTCTTGGCATCTTTTTCAAGCCTCTGGGTCCAGGACTCAAGCTGCAGAGTTGGCCATGTGGGATCTGGCTGCCTTAATCACCACACCCAGATATTGCTATTATGTCATTTGTTGTCTACATTTAGGCAAAAAAAAAAAAAAAGGTCTGAACTAAATGTTCCCCCTGGGGACCAGCAGTTAGCATTATGGCTATGTCACTGGACTCCCACGTAGTCAACCGTGGTTCGGGTCCTGGACCCGGTGGTTTAAAACTCAACGCCGGACGCGTGTGCATGTGTGCCCTCATGCCGGGTACATGTGCATGTGTGCCCAAGATCGCGAGAGGAGAAGGGATTGCTGCGTGACCATCCCCCCTGGGGGGTGATTTCTTGCTTTCTGTCTCTCTGTTTCTCTCTGTCTGGCGAGTTGTTATGAGCTCTCTTGAGATTGGCTTTAAAAAAGAAAGGTAAATGGTCCCCCTGAATCCTTGCATTAAAGTATCTCTAGAATTAGAAATGTAAATAAGGTTTTAATTTTTTAAAGTATAATGAAAACAGAACTTGTTTGAAGTATTAAAATCTTTGCTTATAAAATAAAATTTAATGTTACTTAACCATATTGGCATATTCATATTGGCATCTATAAGAATATTTATAAGCAACATTATTCGTAAGTGCTTCATATTGACAATAGTCACTCATCTTAATATTAAGAATAGAATAATTTTTATTCTGTGGTATATATATGTACTTTTTAAATGTATACTTTCACTTTTAAAATGCCTGTTTTGTTCTTTACAATAAATGATATGAAACCTAAAAAAAAGAATAGAGTAATTTTTTATTTTTTTTAGACTTTTGCCATAGTGCACTTGCACTCACCAGAGACACAGAAAGAGAGGAAATGGGGACTCACCCTATAGAGGGACCACCATGCCACAATCCCTTTTCCTCCATTCTCCTCTTGAGATTGGCATGATTTTCAAGCCACTGGGTCTGGGACTCATAATAGGTCACCTGGAAGTCTAGCACCTTAACCACCACACCACCTGCTGGCCTTCAATAGTTAAATTAATTGTGCAAATTATATGA